CTATGACTTTTTCTTCCAAACAGAAGCATAGCAATCTTCTCTTTCGAGTGCTGCATTCGAGATCTTATGGAAATTTAGATATGCAAAGGTTGCTACGTTGTCAAGGCTGGCACCTACGATCACTACCTCTGCTTCCTTCACTTCCATGTTGGATTTCATTTTTGAGATTTTGATTTTCTTAACTACTCCTTCTACTTTTTTTAGTTGTTTTACTTCCCTACTCTCATATAAATAAAATCAGTGTATTTTAATATTTTACTTCACCAATGGTATTTTCGGGGTTATTGAAAATTTCACTTTTAGGGCTTCTGCCTTTATATATATATATATATTATCATGAGCCGCAACATAATTAAACCTTCGGGTGATGCTTTGCACCTTCTAATTTTAGGGTTTATACGATATCAAATATGGAAGCCTTAACCTCCGTCGGAAAAAAGGCCGCCAAGAAGGAAGAAGCCATTAATGATATAAGGCATTTGAAGGGAACATTATATGAGGAAGTTCAAAGAACTCATTTGCTAAGTGAAGCTTTAAATGATCATATAACATTTTCTTCGAAAAAGAAGCATAACAATCTTCTCTTTTGAGTACCGCATTCGAGATCTTATAGCAATTAGGATCTTTAAATGTTTCAGCAACCTTGGTTGGGATATGAATAACAGACAACTGATGCACAAATGCCTTAAGTGGTTCAGACAGCTTCTCAATGGATACATGATTTGCAATTGGATACTTTGATGTCTTGCCAATATCAGGTGAATAATGATTTGGTGGCTTCCCACTATTTTTCCTGAAAGGTAATTGGTATCCAATAGATTTATCCTCTAAATTCACAAGTGTAAGAGGAGTAGTTACCTCAGGGATATTCTGAGGAGATTTGTCTGTTGGTACTGTTGAGTTAGAGGGGGGGTCTTTATCTTGTTGTTCTGTATTGTCTGTAGGTGTAGAACTCGGATCAGAAACATCTTCGCAGGGATCAGGTGGATCAGGCGATTGATCGTTATGAATGGACAATTGATCGCTTTTCGGCAAAGAGTAATCTCATGCTACAGACTCGGGCCGATCGATCATTTCTGTACATATGAGAATTTCTTCGTTTTCTAAGTTGCTCCAATTCTGCTCTTCACTTCGTATCTATCCCTGAAGCGTAGAATTGGATGATAAGAACAGCTCAGATTCCAAAAAGGTCACATCCAAAGTGACATAGGTACGTCAGGTAGCAGGGTGATAACAACGGTAGCCTTTCTGATGAGTGGCATAACCCAAAAAAACACAACGAAACGCATATGGATCAAGTTTGCTATGTTGATTTTTGTGGAGATGAACGAAAGCCACACATCCAAAGATTCGGGTATGAGTACCAAAATAGAGGGCAGGGGCCCGTGTTGGGCAAGCACTTGTAAGGGAGTTTTAAAGGTCAATACACTAGAAGGCATGCAGTTGATCAGGTGAACATGAGCTCTAATTAGAAGTGCTCGAACGGTTTCAAGAAGATGTCGATTCTTTCATTCAGCAACACCATTTTGTTGTGGTGTCTGAAGACAAGTCGTCTCATGGATAATTTCATGTTGTTGGAAGTAAGTCTGAAAGTCATGATTGACAAATTCTCCATCATTGTCTGAGCGAAGAATCTCTATTTGAGCATTGAACTGAGTTTTCATTTGTTTGTGGAAGAACTGAAAATGGGAAAACACTTCATTTTTATTCTTCAACAAATAAAGGTATGTTATCCATGTACAATCATCTACGAATGTGACAAACCACCGAACGCCAGAAGGAGCAGTGATAGGTAAAGGTCCCCAGACATAAGAGTGAATTAACGTAAATGGAGTAGTACACCTGGTCGTACTCAACGGATAGGGCACATGGTGACTCTTGGCCAAAATACAAGTGTCACATGTGAAGTCAGAGTCCTTAAAACCTGAAAATAAATATGGTATAAGATGCTTCATATAACTAAAAGACGGATGTCCCAATTGACGGTGTCACAACCAGATTTGCTTTTGTTTACTATCAGAGGGATGCGTCACACTATTAGCCCTGTCGGGACTGAAGTCATCTACATAATATAACCCCCTTCTCTTAGTACCATGACCAAGAATCTCCTTAGTGTGAATATCCATAAGCAAACAAAAATTCGGGTGAATTGGTACACAACAATTCAATTGTTCAGTAAGCTGAGCTGACTAACAGATATCAATTTATTAGACAAAGATGGAACAAGTAAAGTATTAGACAGTGAGAGAGAGGATGAGAGTGCAACAGTGCTAGCCCCTGTCACAGGATAAGTAACTCCATTAGCGTTAGCTATACAAGTTCGTCGGGGTTATGTATTATTTAGAAAATCATCAGGATCAAACGTCATATGATCAGTTACACCGGAATCAATTATCCAACTACTAAAATCAATCTTATCGAAGTATGGAATCCATAACCAGTACCATTACTGGTCGTATCGTGTGGTGTTCCACCTTTGAGAGTATGAATTGGTACACAACAATTCAATTGTTCAGTAAAAGTCTCACGAGTGTGTCTCGGATCACCACAATATGAGAATGTCGTTCATGTGTCGGGGGCGTTAGTCGGGAAGTCATAATCTATGCAGTGGAAGATGCATAGGATACAGTAGGAATCCGAATCTGGATTTGAGCCTGAGTCGGGGCCGAAGTCGAAGTCGAAGTCAAAGTAGGGATCTGGGTTTGAATTAGAGACAAATTCGGGGTTGGGGTCATCATCGGAGTCGGGGTCGGGGTCATCATCGGAGTCATGGTCGGAGTTGTCATCGTAGTCGGGGTCGGGGTCAAGGTCATCAAAATAGGATCTTGATTCAAGACCGAGTTCGAGGTCAAAGGTTGCATATGTAGGAGCTAAGCCACTTGGGCACTCAACTCACGCCAACAGTTATAAATTCTAAAATGAGAATGATGATAACCTAATGACAATATGATAAAATAAAATAAAAAGACAATGTTGATCAATTAGCTCTTAGTAGAGTGATATTCTTGTTCCCAATGTTGAAAGATGTCCTATGTTAAATCTACATCTACCGAGGGTTAAAAAAGAAAACAAAAATAGAGACAACATTAATTGGTGTACGTAGTGATGCTCCATAACTAAACAAATTATGAATACATTTTATATTTTGGGAAGTATCATGTATGAGAAACTTAGAAGGTAGTTGCATGAATTTTTAGAAATCCTGGTGATTTGGATTATGAGAGAAATTATTATTTATTTATTTTCATATATAATATATTATATTACATTAGGTTACTTTTTCCACAACAATTTTACAATTACTTCTTCTTCAAAATTAATTTTCTTTTACAGAGTTAATCAAATAATAGAAATGCCATTACTTTAAAAATGGCACACATGGGAACCATTTTTTATTTAATTGAAATAAAATAATTTAAACAAAATAGAATTAAATTTAAATAATTATTAAGTATTAAAAAATTAAAAAGCAAAAAAAATAAAAATAACCTCACTTTCTCCCTCTCTGCAACTCTTTCTCTGGGCAAAACTCCCTAGCCACTGCCCAGCTCCTTCCCTCGCCCAAATCCACCGCTCGCTCGCTCGTTGATAAAACCCCTGATCCAAATGGCCGGATCACTACTCGCCTAGCCACTACCCGTTGCCATTATGCTTTCCTCAAAGGCTACTTTAGTCATTCTATCCTTATGGATTAGCTGTTTATCTTTTCTTTCGTGGCAACCTACAAGCTGGTCCTAACAAACTTTTGTATAAATTGCTACAACATCAATGAGAAAAGCAGGATAGAACTTTGTCAGTTTCTTATTTGTCTCTTTCATTTCCTTTGTTTTCTATATTGGTACCTCTCTCTCTCTCTCTCTCTCTCTCTCTCTCTCTCACACACACACACACACACCAAGCCCATTGCCCAACTCCTCCACCAAGCCCAGGTCCACCATGGCCATTGCCCAGCTTCCTCGCTACCTAAATCCACCATTCTCTTTCACTGAGTCTGAAATCGCCATGAAAACATATTGAGATCACATCCTTTGATTGGCAAAAGACATGTATATAATGCTGACATGACATGCTGAATTGTTTAGTTAGTCAGAAGTTCACGTGGGTTCACGTGTTTATTAAGTTGTAGCTGAGAAGCTAAGTGCATCTGTCATATAAATATTAGATATTGTTCATTGTAAAGTATATTGAAAAAGAGAGAAAATTAATCAAAGAAATCGTAAGCTTCTTCTCAAAGTTTCTTGCTGTGTCTTCATTGAAGTTTGCTATCATGGTATCAGAGCAGGTTAGTCCACGTGTGAAAGCCCAACGGCCACACGTGCTCCACGTCACCTAATATGTGTTGTCCACATGCTAGGTTTGAAATTTTGCCACATGTGTGGGGGCTTGTGAGAATGTGAAGGTAAAAAATCATACATTGGAAAGTTGAGAAACCTAGCAAGGGCTTATAAGAAGTTGGGCTACTCCCCTTATTGCCAATTAATTTTGGGGTGGAATCTCAACTTTCTTCAGCCTTCATAGCCTTCTGTCTCAAGGTGCTACCACCACGCTCCTCACTCTCCTCGACCACGACCGTTGAACCCTAGCACCTGCCCACTAGGTCCCAATCTCACGGCCTTGGATTGGTGTCGATGACCTCTCAAAATCCTTGAGCTAGGCTCAGGGCCTTGGATTGGTGTCGATGACCTCTCAAAATCCTTGAGCTAGGCTCTAAAATCGCTGCCGCCATCATTCTGGGGGCTTGGTGACGGAGAGAGAGAACGGTAGACTTTCTTAAAAAAACAAAGAAGCTTCTTCCACAATTCAAAAAAAAATGTAGGCTGTTTTCTATAAAATAAAAAATAAAAAAAAGGCGCAGCTTTGTCTTTTTGCAACTGCAGGAGCATGAGTGAATATGTAACAATTTGTTCTTTTTGTATTAAAATAAATTTAAACCGTTGATCTCATCTAACGGTCTAGAAACTTGATGTATTATATTAGAATTTTCCAGCAACCTTAGCCCCTTCTTCAGCACAACTCCACAAAGGAACAAGGCCCTTCCTTCCTGCATCAGATGGTGCAAAGGTCTCTCCATTATACCCTCAATTTCTTTGTTTTGTTTTGCAATTTATTTGCCAATAATAGATACTGCCTCCATAGCCTTTGACTCGATATCCTCTGAAGATTGCCATTGAAACTCCAACCTCAGTACCCAAAACCCACAATAGCAATGGCAGCTTTGGTTGCAATGCCTAGGATGAGAATGAAAATTACAGTTTTCCCGAATGTTTTTCCTCCATTTTTGTGCCAATCCTACAGACCGAAGAAAGTCTCAGTCTTCCATAGAAGGAGGTCTTTTTCAGTCTCTGCGTCTTCAACAAAGGAGACCCGAGACCAAGTACGCGTTCGTTTTGCTCCTTCTCCCACTGGAAATCTCCATGTTGGTGGAGCTAGAACTGCGCTATTTAATTATCTCTTTGCCAGGTACGTCTTTGTTTGTTTTGTTTGTTTGGGTTTATGGTTTTTGTCGGCTTTTTCTTTATTGGATGAGTATGAGTATGAGTATTAGTGTCTGTGCTGGGGCAGGTCCAATGGAGGGAAATTTGTTTTGAGAATTGAAGACACTGATTTGGAGAGGTCTACTAAAGAATCTGAGGAGGCTGTGTTAAATGACCTCTCTTGGCTTGGTCTTGATTGGGATGAAGGTACTTTTTTTCTTGATTAATTCTTTTCCAGCTCTAAAATGCCTACGGTTTAATCCAAAATCCTGTTCCATAGGATTTGTCGAATATGTGAGTGCATTTGGCTATTACTTGAATTATGACTTTTATACTCAATGACATGATCGTACTAGCTCAATAAGTGGTGGCAGGAGAGATAAATTTCTCAACTTCAGTGCATATTGAATCTCCTTTACTCTACGTGTACTGGGTCTATCTTGTAAAGTTTCAAACTTGGTCATTTCATTTTTGGTAAACTTTGCAGGACCCGGTGTTGATGGAGATTATGGTCCGTACCGGCAATCAGAAAGAAATTCTTTGTACAAGCAATACGCTGAGAAGCTTTTAGAGTCTGGTTATGTCTACCGCTGCTTTTGCTCTAGTGAGGTGATTCTCTTCTGTATTTGAGTCTTCAAGCATGTCTTCGCTTGCCAAATAATAAGATTAGAAAATGAAAATATTCTTGTAATAGATTTACAAATGGAAATTCTAAGGGAGTATGAATGACTTGATGACTTGCCCTTCTGTTTAGTTGATGTTTATGCCTTGTTTAGTTGGCTAAAGGAGTGCCAGATTGTTGTTCATACCTTTCTAGCTTATTCTGAAAGAAAGTTAGATGAAAATTTGCTTCGTATTTTTGGGTTTTTAAGGCATCATAAGTCCTGTTATTTGTTCATTCTGTGTTCATACTAAAGTGCAATGCTATTGTACATCTGCAATCTTAACCTTATTCTCTCCAGGAACTAGAGAAAATGAAGGAGATTGCGAAACTAAAACAACTGCCTCCAGTATACACAGGAAAATGGGCCAATGCAACAGACAAAGAAGTACAAGAAGAGCTTCAAAGAGGAACTCCTTACACATATCGGTTTTGTGTGCCAAAGGAAGGAAGTTTGAAAATCAATGATCTTATTCGAGGCGAGGTTAGTTCTTTTTTTTATATAAATAAATATTTTGGTTATTGGGTTGGGAGCACTTAGGAACTCCTAGTATGGTAAAGTGTGTTTCTCACTAACTTAAAGTAATTCATCAATTAACTTCGACAACCATCAAATTTTTAATTAAGTTTTATAGGCTGTTAACTTTGTATAGTGTCATGAAGGTCAGTTGGAACTTGGACACTCTTGGAGATTTTGTAATTATGAGAAGCAATGGTCAACCAGTGTACAATTTTTGCGTGACAGTTGATGATGCTACCATGGCTATCTCACATGTTATTAGGTAATACGAATAACTTCTTGAACATGGATGAGAGTGTGCTATTTGCCAATCTATTTCACCACTTCACCACTATTGTTTCTTGGATTTTGGTTCATCTCTTTATTATGTCATGTGACTCACACAACATTTGCATTCAGAGCAGAGGAGCATTTACCAAATACTCTAAGGCAAGCATTAATATATAAGGTAACTTTATAAACTCATGTCCTGATTTTCTTTCTGTTTGGGTTTCTAATGTAGAACTACAGTGAAGCTTTTTTTTATTTTTTATTTTTATAAAATAAAAAAAATCTAACCACCATACCAACACAGGCTCTAGGATTCCCAATGCCTCACTTTGCACATGTTTCCTTAATTCTTGCACCGGACCGGAGTAAGCTGTCAAAGAGGCATGGCGCAACTTCAGTGGGCCAGGTAGTCATCTAAATATAGTTTTCCTTTCTTGCTAAGAATGTTGGGCTACAAGAGGTTTCTGCCATGGTTTCCTTGAGGTCCAACCCCACCTTTCTCCTACTGATTTCCTTTATTCAAGAGTTTCTTTGTTAATATTAATAGATGTTCTTGATATCTAACTACTAGAACTTAACAGTACAGGGAGATGGGCTATCTACCCCAGGCAATGGTGAACTACTTGGCACTGTTAGGTTGGGGTGATGGCACTGAAAATGAATTTTTCACCCTGGACCACCTAGGTTAGTGAATTCCTTTGAAATCTCACTTTATCACCCTCGTGCTCCCTATCATACTCAGAAACCGGCTGCTCAGCTTACGTGCACTGTTTAAATATCTAAGTATTTTGTTTACTAATAATTTCAGTTGAGAAATTTTCAATTGGTCGTGTCAACAAAAGTGGTGCCATTTTTGACTCTACCAAGCTAAGGTAATTATAGCTTTAAATCTACTATATGAAGAGAAAAATTGTTTAAGATTTCTTCTACGTAGCATTTCCTTCTCTTGGAGAAGCAGATTGAGTGAGCATTTTGCAGTTGCATGGTTGTTTTGTTGGTATAGGTTTTCCTGATTTACTGTGGATCATGTCTATGAAAATTTAGGCAGCTTATTGAATTCTTGAATTAATTGCATCACTGAGGTATTGTTTCTAATTATATTCTCATACATATACTTACAAACTAAAGGTGGATGAATGGTCAACATTTGAGAGCACTTCCATCAGAGGAGTTGACAAAGCTTATTGGTGAGCGATGGAAAGGTACTGGCATCCTTACAGAGTCAGAGGGTTCATTTGTTGAAGTAAGACTCATCTCCTCCACATTTTCATTTTACAGGTTATCTTAGTTTGTAAATTTAGAGAAATGGTGTGATGCAGGACGCGTAGGACCTAAATTTATTAGTTTCCTAGATTCTCTAGTTTTCCAAATTCTAGTAGGATTTCTACTTTTCCAGATTTCCAGATTTCTAGTTTTAAGTTTCCTATTTTATTTGGGTTAGGATTTCTGTTTAAGCAAGGGATTTTTATCCTATTATGTCTAGGTTTTAGTTTGCTATAAATAACCCCATGGAGTTCTTTAAAATGGAGATTTTGGATATTGAGTAAACCTTCTCTTAAAACTATGTGATTTCTGTTCTTCCTTCTCTGTTCTCTGATTTCGGTCCTTTCCTTCATCCCTTCGATCTATATTTTCATCTTCTCGACCTCCGATATTCTTCTTGTTCTACTGTTCTGCCCTTTCTTTCGTCTTTTTGATCTATATTTTCATCTCCTCGATCTCTTATATTCTTCTATGTTCTATTGCTTAAGTGTTTACTCTAAAACCTACGGGCTGTTCTACATCATGGTGTCTAAGGTCATTAATGCTGTGCATTGCTGTTGATGATACTGTTGTTAAGAACAAGACTATTTGTGGTCTATGATTTTTTATAATAGGTCTACTGTATCCAGGGGAGCTTCTTCACTTCCCGATGATTTCAATACAAGCTAAAGTGCCCCTTAAATTGAAGTGTTTTCTGCTTTTTAACAACCTCAATGTTTTTTATATTTTATATTTTATAATCATGAAAAGTGAAGCATGTCTACTATGTAATTTCGTAGGACGCAGTTCAGTTGCTCAAGGATGGGATTGATTTGACACCAGATTCAGATAAAGCACTCTCAAACTTGTTATCGTACCCTTTACTTGAAACTTTATCCAGGTGATCTTGATTTTTTGTCGCACTTACTCTGTTATTTTGCTTTTGTTGTTGTTGTTGTTGGAAAATATATCATTGAATTGGCACTCTGAAGGGTTCATAAGAATTTCAGAGAGATTGATAACAATTGTCTCTAATCGAATATCAAAAACTGCTCAACCACTTCACAACTTTGATATGCTTTTGCTGACTTTTCGGATGGCCATTTATTTCCTTCTGGAATGTTGTTGTGGTTCATTATCATAAGTTATGGGGATTGTGCATTGAATTGGATGAAATTGCATTTAGCCCTCCATTTGAAACAATAATATGTAAGCAACAGCTGAGAATCCTAAGCGTTCGCTAGCATGTTGAAACATGAATGTGGGCTAAGACATTATATCCAACATAAGACAGTGCTCTCACACGGATAGACAAAAATATGGATTTATTTCAATGGAAGGGTGGATTATTCCTAAGTTGATGTTGCATTTAGGTTTACCACTTCAAATGTATATGGCCTTCTGTTCTTCAAATCACCGTATTTGTCTTGTAATGAGTAAGCTATATTTGAAGAAGGGGATGCTTTGTTGGCTATTGATGTTAACAGAACTACTATGTGTATGATAACTATGAATTTGTTTGTCATGGCTGCAGTCTTGAAGCCAAACCAGTCTTAGAGGACAAACTTTCTGAGTTTGCAGCCAGCTTCATAGCTGCTTATGACAGTGGTGAACTACTTGCTGCACTCGAAGAAGGCCATGCTGGTTGGCAGAAATGGGTGAAGAGCTTTGGCAAATCACTGAAGCGCAAGGTGGCTTCTCTCGTTCATTGTTCATTTATTTTCCAACCTTTTCATGAACTTCTCTCCATTTCTGGCTAATAAAATGAAAATTTTGTGCATTCAAAATCTTAATGGCAGGGGAAATCACTGTTCATGCCTCTCCGAGTGCTGTTAACAGGAAAGCTTCATGGCCCAGATATAGGGGCTAGCGTGCTTTTACTGCATAATGGTGGAAAATCTGGTATTATTGCTCCTCAAGCTGAGTTTGTGACATTGGATGAAAGGTTCAGAGTATTGAGAAAAGTTGACTGGGAAGCATTAACCAAGAAACAGTCTCTGCTGGAGACTGCCGCCACTGTATCAACTTGAGAGTAGACAGTTTTCAGTTTTTTTTTCTTTTTTTTTAGCTTGCACATGAAGTTATTAATCACAATCGTATTTTTGGGAGAAAAAGAAATTTCCACTAATCATTTATCATGACAACTATGCACAGCCAATGAAGAACACTATCACCAGCGAGACACCAACAAGAGAATAAGATTTGACAAACTGGTATCCATCACAATCGGTTTTTTTTTTTTTTTAAATTTAATTTTTGCGCATAAAGTTATCCATTTCGCTAAATACATTCTTGGCAGTTGGCAGTCATTATATTAATTCCATGGTGCTAATATAAAAAGCTTGTTTCCTGTTAAATTATCGTTCTAATGTAAAGTCTAAAGCGAAAGCAACCCTTTCAAATTAATTCCTGGTTAAAAAAGAAATCCTAATGCTGCTGCAGAGACTCAGTTAGAATATTGGTCAAGAGAATGTATGCTTGTGGAGATGATCAATGCTTGGACAGGGAAGTCACGATTAAGCACAAGCTCCAATCATAACAACACAGAATTCACAAGCAAATGGTTTTTAAAACCAACCTTAGAACGACAACATACCATAATGTTTCTTTAAACCACTTGTCTTAACTTGATTAGTGTCACTAATTTTTATAACGGTAGAAATCAATGATGAAGGTTGTTGTTAGGGGAGGCCATTGTTTACCCCTTTAACTTCTGACAAAAATGCTAATACTTCTCATTTGGTGGTGGTTTTCTTTTAGAACAGGGCTCTGAGTGGACATGTTATTCTGTTGTTTTTCATGTTCAGTTGTGTTTGCCTGGGAATAATGCAGGCTGGATTTGAATTTTTTTCCCTGCAGTTTTTGTTATTGTTGTATAAAAGAATTTCGTACAAACAAAACAAAAAATTTGGCACATCCTGGCATATCCCCTCCTTGGTCTAAGCCTAACCACTAGTTCAATGTTCAAATTACTTGCCTCATCAGTTCCCTCCCTTCTCTCTGCACAGGAATTGCAAAGTTTTAATTCAACCAAATATTGTAATGTTTAGAACATGTAGGCCTCCAGATGAAGAATCTAAAGTTGCTAAAATCTTGTATACTTCATAGAGTATATGACCACCCACATTCTTGAGCCTAAGAACTCAACCACTGAAAATGAAAACCTAATGTCTCCTATTCTGAGCCTGCAATTTCATCGGGGTTGCAAGTCAGAAATTTCTGCAGCATTAACTGAACAACTTCCTTGCTGCGGTGTAGATGCGTTTTCCACACTTCCATGTCCTGAGAAAGCCATCTTCGTAGGAGTGGGAACGGGTTCAATGTCAGTTTTGAGCATGGAATAAACTTCCAACATTGTAGGTCTAGCCTCCGGATTTTCCTGGACACATAATAGAGCGACTTGCAAGCATCTCGATAATTTACAAGAAGAAGAAGAATCATCCAGTGATGGATCAATAAATTCCCTTCCTTTGTCATCTTTCCATGATAGATATGCCTGAAATAGTTTGAATGTTACTTCATATATAGTTTAGATCTAAGTAATAGTTTCCTGTAGTGGTGATAGAATCATAGACAGCTATGGAACTTACGTATTGCAAGAGGTGCAAGCTTTCGTTCGGACCATAGTAACATGTGCTCCTCCTTCCACTAATCATTTGCAAAAGTAGAACCCCAAAGCTGTAGACATCGTACTTTGTAGAGTATATACCTTTTTTTACATATTCAGGAGGAACATAGCCACTGCATTGCATACCACAACAAGTATTAAAGGATATGATCATGTGTGTGTGAACAACCAAAAAGAGGCAGTTTACTTACTATGTTCCAACAATCCGCTTTGTGTTTGCTACAAGTTCATCTTTTCTGAAAAGTTTAGCCATTCCAAAATCTGATATCTTAGCATTCATTTCATGGTCAAGTAAAATGTTGCTACCTTTCAGATCTCGGTGAATAATTGTAAAATTGGAGTATTCTTGAAGATATAGGAGTCCTTGGGTAACCCCTTCAATGATGTGCACACGCTTTGTCCAGTCTAGAAGATACCGTCTGGTAGGATCTGCAAGATTTCAAATTCAGGACCAATGAGGTAGGCAAAGGATCAAGAGACAGACAAATTAAAAGTCACAGGTTTCTGCACCACAAGCTTAGATGGCTTAACAAGTGATTTTTGTTAGCTTAATATACACTAGTGTTCCTCAAGAATACGCTTGTCTAACTATTTGGAGAGTTTCAATGAGTTTAACCCCCCCATCTTTACCTCTTAGAGGAGATGTTAAGACCCACTGAAACTTACAGAATGCAAAAGTATTGTGTTATGCTAGCCTGCACTCTCAACCATAACAGGAAGCATGAAAAATTGCAGACCAAAAAGGTAGAAGTCCAAGCTTTTGTTGGGCATGTACTCGTAGATCAGCATTTTTTCTTCCTTCTCAGTGCAAAATCCAAGAACTCGAACTAGATTTACATGTTGTAGTCTTGCAGTAAGTGTAACCTCATTTCTAAATTCCTCAAGTCCTTGAGTTGACGTTTTGGAAAGTCTTTTCACTGCAATTTCCTGTCCTCCTCGCAATTTACCCTTGAAAAATTGAAGAAAACCATGGTTAGTTAAGTTAGCATGGTTTAGTAAAAAGAAAATCCAGATTTATATCTGATCAAAAGATAAATCTACAAATGGTATCACTCTCACTGTTCACCAGAATGTACCACTTAATTAACACAAGGTGAGGGTGACTCTGCTTTCAGTTGTTGATAAGCTTTTGGTTCAGCATGAGGGGAATTAGTAGCCAATGATCATAGACACAGCTTTAAGCCTAAAGTTATTTTTGTTCCCTTTTCTTGGTAGCAGGAAAGTAGGAATGGGGTAGTTCAGGGAAAGAGTTTTTTTTTATTGATATACATCTCATTGTTTTAAAAGTAGCAGCAGATTATACACAAGGGCACACATACAACCACAAGTTTTAAATCCCAGTTCCCACAGTGTAAACTTATGTTAGATAAGGTAGCAAATATTACCATGTAAACAGGACCAAACCCACCCTCTCCAAGCTTGTTTTCACTTGAGAAGTTATTTGTTGCCGCTTTGATATTGGAAAAGCTGAATGCTTGCAGAGTTGGAGGATCACTGTTAAAATCTGATGTGCTAGTAGACCTTGAATTCCCAAGAATATGCATCCCTGAAACCAGAAGGAAAAAAATAAAAAGTGAAAATGCAAATGCAAAACTCTTGATGTAAATTCGAAAAAAGAATTTATCTTTGTCTAATTGCTATTCGAAACAAACACTAACAGTGAGAAAAATAACCCTTTGTCTTCAACAATTTTCTTTGTAAGTAACACACCACGAAGGCTATGAGGATTATGATCAAAGTAATTGGAAGCAAAACTATAAGCAATAACCGCCGCTTGTTTTCTTGATCATTTTCTTCCTCTCGAACTGTCATTTACTAAACCAGTTAGAAGTAGAATAAATGGCTCTCCATTAGAAAATAAGTTGATTTATGCAGATAGCCTGTTGTCAAAATTAAACTTTCTTCAGTATATAAAATTGAGTGTTATGACATGTCAAAAACAAAGCATCAAAAATCACTTTGGCCAACCTGCCCAAGAAAGCGCCCAATTGTCATCATTGGTGACTTGAAACACATTGGTACCAAGTAGCTTCTTCTCCTTGACATATGCAATCTTAGTTCTGACAGCTTCCACATCATCAAAACCAATCCAATTCGATCCTATGATGCAATAATTCACAACATAAGTAGCATTATACATTATGGGAGCTCCGTAGCTTCTAATGTACCACTTGATGTATTTATAGCTCATGGATCCATCTTTCGTCTCAGCTTTTCCGGCTGCAGGTGCCCCAATTCCATTATTGTCTTTGGGGTTCACAAGTGTCCACGCATAGCCATGGTAAGGCAAACCCAAAACCAGTTTGCTAGCAGGAAATGAGTTGTTTAGCCATTGCTTTATACCATAGTTGGTGTTAACATGGCTTGACGGGTCATATAAAGCAGCATGAGCACCGGTAACATTCTCCTTAGCAGGTAGATGATAGTCATATGCCACAACATGTGCCCAATCCAAATTCCTCTTCATAGATTCAATTGGGTAACTCAACGATTCGAAAGCAGGCAAATAACGAACCGCCATTGTCAATATCAAGCGTGACTGATCACTAGAGTTTCTTGACTCAGAATTCACAGCAACTCCCCACTCATCCAATAGCTTTCCCATGTTGATCATATCAGAGGTTGTCCTAGGCCAAAGCCAAAGCAAGTCTATACCTTGAAAGCCATAAAGCCTTGCTGTTTTGATTGAAGACTCAATGAAAGACTTTCTGTTAGAAGGTTTGCTGGCCATTGAGGACAAGACTGAAGAGTTAGCTTTCTCACCCAAAATTGATTGATTTGTTGCAGCTAGTCCATTCCAGATGGACAGGAGTGTTATGACTGATGGGTTTTTGCGCTTGACGATACCGGTGAAGCTGGAGAAGGATGGCTCCTGAGAGGAAGGGATGGAGAGCTGGTAGGTGGAGGAATTTAGTTCAGCAAAGGCACAAATAAGATGAGTGAACAAGGCAGAGTTTATGTCAGGTATCGGGGACTCGCTATCGACATACCAGTAACCAGCTCTGATCCAAGTTTGTGCAGAGAAACGACAATAAAACTGAGATGAAATAAGGAAGAAGAAGAGGAAAAGGTGGGTGACATTTTTTGATCCCATGGATATAAAGCTAGTTTGATTTTGCTCCAGACTTGCAAGTCTGGACTTCTTTGGAAGATTGAAGAATTGAACCGATTAATGGAGATTGCATTGCAAGTCTGCAAGTCTGCACTTCAGAGAGACAGACCCCTTGGCCTAACTGGACGGATTAATGGAGATTGCATTGCAGCCAAACCAATCAATCAAGCCCTTGCTTTTTTTATTTTTATTTTAATTTTTTTATAAATATAAATAAATCAGCATGATGAGGAGGGTGTGTGTGTGAAATGGAGTAATCATATGCCACAAGCAAGTCTCTGGATTTAGTTGAGAAGACGTACGTGGCATGGAATGGAACACTTTTGCCACCAAACTTGTTGTGAAATGTAAATTCTTGGAAAAGTTAGTCTGCCCACGAAAGCGATGG